GGTGTGCCGAGAATCGGCAAAAAACTGTTAGTCACTGGGGAGAAATCCTTTTTCCTTCAACCGGGAGAAAGCCTTCTTGATGGCATACAGGATGTGTATGTCTTAAGTGAAGAAGACGGACTGGTTCTCAAAGCCCTTGAAAACTTTATAGATGGGGACAAGGTGAGAATTTCGCTTCGAAACGGTGAAAATGTTAGGCGTTTTAATACTTGCAGCAATTATTATTGTTGTTTCATTCCTATAGCAACGCTTAGCTGGTGAGGAATGGATGCTAGTTGGTCCGCAGGAGTATGTTCCACCGATAGAAGTGCAGGTTGTAAAGTCCCAAAAGGCAATCCCACTGGCGGACAATGAAGGCATCTACGTTCGAGATCGGATAACAGGCAAAGTGCGGTCGGTTGTGGGGACTACCTACATGTTAACACAGAATGAAGAGCTCTGGGAAAAGTCGCTCTCTCCTGCTGTTGAGGAACTACTGAGGTCCACCAAGGACCCTTTGGCTGACAGGTCGGTGGTTGGAGCCTCAGCTCGGAAACAGGCTGGTAGAGGCCCTATGAATATTCAGAATGAGTCGTCAAAGTTGGACGCAACACGAGTGGTTAGCTACAAAGTTCCACACAATGCTGTGGCTCAGATCTATGATTACAAGAGGAAGAGGGCTCGCTTTGCCTTTGGTCCAGATTTGGTGATGTTGGACGCCGATGAAGAATTCACAGTTCTGAGTCTCTCTGGTGGCAAACCAAAGAGACCCAACTTGATTCGATCACTCTGTCTTCTGTTGGGTCCAGATTTCTGCTCGGATTCATTGGTGGTTGAAACTGCTGACCATGCGCGCCTTTCAATCCAACTCTCCTACAATTGGCAGTTTGAGATTTCCCCGGAAAGAACCTACGATGAGGCCTCGAAGCTCTTCTCTTTGCCCGACTTTATTGGAGATTTCTGCAAAGCCCTGGCTGCTCGGGTGAGAGGTGCTGTTGCATCCGTGACCTTCGACAAATTCCACAAGGTAAGAAACCGTTCTCGGCCTCTGTCCTTTTTGCTTCAATTGCTCCTCCCCCCCTTCCCCCATTTTCATCCTCCTCACCTGTGTGCCCACTTTGTTCGTGTTTAGAACTCAGCCAGTCTCATTCGAGAGGCCGTGTTTGGTAAGGATGCTGAAGGGAATGTGAACGAGAGATTCGTGTTCCCCCAAAACAATCTGGTGATCACCAGTGTAGATATTCAGTCGGTGGAGCCAGTGGACCAGCGAACTCGCGATGCCCTTATGAAGTCAGTGCAACTGGCTATTGAGATAACCAGTAATTCTCAGGAGGCATCTGCTAGGTGAGTGTGTCGATCTATTGCCAGCTTCTCAAGTTTGTGGAAGTTATCTCTAATCGTGTTCTGTGATTTGGCAGGCATGAGGCTGAGAGGCTTGAGCAGGAGGCGAGAGGTCGACTAGAGCGCCAGAAGATTGAAGACGAGGCTTCTGCAGAGGAGGCGAGAAGGAGTCTTCTTGAATTACAGGTGCAGTTGGCAACTCTGGAGAGCACAGGTCAAGCAAGAGCAGAGGCTCAGAGTAAAGCTGAGGCCATGAGAATTGCCTCTCAGGCGGAAGTTGAGAAGGCCCGACTGGAAGCCGAAGCTGATGCAATCAAGACCTCGTCCGAGCTCAATCGCTTGAGGAGTGCCCGTGAAACGGAGCTTGAATATCTGGTTAAAAAGAACGAGATCTTTCTTCAACGTAGACGTCAAGAATTGGAGATGGAGACTGATTTCTATCTCAAGAGGGTTGCTGCTATTGGATCAGAGAATCTGAGAGATATTGCCTGTTCTGGTGCTGAACGCGATGTGCGCATGCTGAAGGCGTTGAATTTGAAGAGCACCCTCATCACAGACGGAAAGACACCTGTAAATCTTCTAGACGCTACTGCTGGTTTGATCGGTCAAACTACTGGTGGGGTGTTCAACACTCCCATTGTTGAACATCCTGACGGAGATCGTGATATGCTTTCTAACTAGGGAATCGTAATACTTCATCACCCTCTTTATTTAAGTGTAATTTCTGTTTCTGTCCTACTCTGTTCTCGCTATCTTTTGCTGCTTATTGTGCTTTCAAATTTGGCGCCAAATATATGGTCATTGAGGCACTTTACCTTATAACTTCGCTTGAAAGTAGAGATGTAGTTTGGTTGTTCTTCTTTATAGCCCTGAGGATTCCGATCTTGGAGCTTTTCTTGCTCATTTCTCTATCGAAGTGTGTGCTTGAGCATATTCTTGCATTTGGGATCACTCTAACTATATTACTGTCGGTAGAGTTTGCTACCATGATCTAGAGAAATATCCCAATTTGTAATTCGACAGTTGGGGGATCAAGTCGGAACTTTATGTAACTTTCGTCTGTACAGCCGAAAGATTCCGGGATGCATAATAATTCGCGACTCTTGTCATGTGGTGTAGTAGGTATGGCGAAGCCAACAATTCATTCAGACTAGGCATGAACAATCTTTGTTGGTGATGCTCAAATACTCTAATTCCTAGATGGCAATATTTAGATCAAAGGCACCCAGTTCATAAGAAGACGGTGTGAGTAGCATTTATTGACCGATTGATTATATGAGTACGGTTTGTGGAGAGATAATCGCTGTGATTGATGTTAGGAGCACGAAAAAGTTAGTAAATGCCGTGTGTATTTCCGCCGAATTTTATTTGGATGCAACTCATCAAATCCGACAGTGCAAGGTATCTCAGATACCCCCCCCCCTCTCCAATTTCCCATAACTATTTAAAAATAATTTCAAATTGCTTGGCATACTCAAATCCTACGTGCAATTTTGCTCCCACCCGGCTCTCATTCCTGAAAGTGTAGCTCTCGCATCGCCAACATTTGTCTCAAATTTCTGGAAACTATTTTTTTCACCCAGATCCTCCACCCAACTTCTCCCTCTTTCAGTTATTCCAATCTCTGCCATCCACTCACATACTGCATTTACAACTTTTAAAGCTTTATATATTTTTGCTTTAATTTTTTCCCGTTTTTTTTATTGATCTAGATCTGCTTACCCAGCTGCTTATTCTACAAGATTCGAAAGTTCCACATTGGCATGGAACAAACCCCCCCCCCTCCCCTTCATTTACCCCCTTCACTTCATACTAACTACCTGCTTGAAGTCTGTAGAGTTTAACTCCATTAAAACATTCTCTCGACGAACTATTCTTACGTCTGTCAATGTGGCTGTATTTGCACCCACGTTTTGATTGAGCATTTGTATTCGCTAAATTGTACACCATAGTAATAAAATGTAAAAAATAGTGGTCTTACAATGGATTCCTGAACGCTGTGTCATTAAAGGCAATGAGCTTGCTGACGCACTTGCTAAGAAGGGGACAACAATTTTGCAAGACATAGACTGGCCGATGTCTTTCCACACAGTGAAGGCCTTAATCAGGATAGAATTCAAGACCTCAGGGTACAACGAACTTAAAGCTCGAACAAAGGAGAAACAGTGGGCAACGAAATTAAAGCTCGAACAAAGGAGAAACACAGTTGGCACTCTCCGATATAACCGACTGGCCAGGAATCGAAGCCGTTGCTATCGACAAAGCCGACTGGCCAAGAATCGAAGCCGTTGCTGAGTTTAGAGAGTGGCACTCTACCACATAGCCGAATGGCCAAGAATCGAAGCCGTTGCTGAGTTTAGACTTTGGCCAAGAATCGAAGCCGTTGCTGAGTTTAGACTACGTACGAGACACGATTGCTTGGCAAAACACCTTCACAGATTAGGAGTATCAAAACACCTTCACAGATTGAGAGTATACACTCAACCCACATACTCTATGTAACCTACAGGAGGAAATGGAGAAGTCCCACCTGTCTATGTGACCTACAGGAGGAAACGGAGAAGACCCACCATATGTAACCTACATGAGGAAATGGAGAAGACCCATCTGATCTGTAACCTACAGGAGGAAATGGAGAAGACCCACCTGATGTGAAACCTACAGGAGGAAATGGAGAAGACCCATCTGATTCTCTACAGGAGAAAATGGAGAAGACCCACCTGATTCGGTGTTCAAAGGAGGAAATGGAGAAGACCCACCTGATTCGGTGTCTAGCGATCAACCCACATGCCCTCTATGTAACCTACAGGAGGAAATGACCAACATGTCCCCTATGTGACCTACAGAAGGAAATGGAGAAGACCCACCTGACTCGATGTCCAGCCCTAAAGACAACTACGGAACCCCAGAGATACTGGGATGCCAGAGGACAACTAATGAATTGCTATTAATTAACTGCCATATATGTTCTCCCGGGGGGAAAGCCGAAGTCAACTAAGGGGCTAATGATAAATATTTTAAAGCCCACCATTTGAAATAATAATAACAATAATATTAAAATATAAGTGCAATTTATGCATTTTATATCTTTTGAACGCTTTTGTCAGCGACCATATCATGTAGAAGGCACCGACTCTCGTCAGATCACCGAAGTTAAACTACGTCGGCCAGGCTAGTACTTTCATGGGTGACCGGCTGGGAATATCCGGTGTTGCTGACTTCTTGGGGTGTGCGATAGACTTACCTCCACCATGTTAAGCATTATGTCATATTGTGGAATCATACTATCTTTAGGAAATTATGAACTTGTAATGTCAAACAAGCATTGTGTCAGAACGTTAAAGGTATTGATTCTCACTGAAAGAAAGTAAACTTTATTTTGCTAAATTAGTTATAACCGCAGTGGAGAAGTACAAAGATTTTGCAGAACAGCCAACAAGACATGGGCCTGGGTCAATAGAGTGTGTAGATATAAGGTAGAAAAACAGTTCCAAAAGTGCATAGAAGAGCTGAAGAAGAGTTAACCATTTGAGAGTTGGCAAGCTGTCAGTGGGTTGCCATGACAACCTGGTTGATATTTATTACTTTGACGTTATAAATTTTGGGCCGTTCAAATATAGAACATGCAATATTCATGTTTCTCAAAACTAGATCTAGTTATTTAAGGTCTTAATTTTCAGCCAAAATTGGTTGTCGATATTCTTCCATTTCCACGTTTAGGCGAAAGGAATGGGTAAGAATTCCATTGGCTGCCTTTTAAATGGAAGCTCCTTGAGTGATAACCTATTTTACGCATTTTTAATGCAGTTGATCAGACCATCCTAAGTCTCAGGTTGTGGGTGAATCATCTAATTCGCATATTTGCACCCATTTTGCACACTTCTTATGCATTAATGCGTTTGCAAAATCGTGCTGTATTGTTGTTTGAATAGAAAAAAAAATGATAATTTTATTTGCTATCAACACTATATTTGTATTCCAAAATTTGAAAATTTCAATTTTAAAAACCTTGCGCTTGTGGAAAAATTGCAACCACTGCAATTCGCGTTCTCATTAACTTTAAGCTTTCAGAACTTATTAAAAATTGACTCCATTCTATAATCTGCATAAATCCAAGCTGAAAGATGGAAATTCTAGAAGTTGAAGCCGTTGACTCCACAACTTAAAGGAAAGTGTGTTGTGACTTGAACGCTACTTGATTGCAACACATAATATAACCAGCAGTGGCTTCAAGGTCATCCACTGTAATATCGATTTTCGTGCACGCCGCTTTTCTCTCGCACATTAAGATAATTCACGCATGCTTTGTCATTAATGAGCTCCATTTTAAGTCGAATTGCTCACATACAAAAAATAGGATTTTTGCCTTCACGCTAACGTTGAAAGCAATCATAACTAAGCACGTTTTAAAACAGTTAATTAATATAATATCGTAAAATTAAGAGTGGAATATTAACTTGACACGAAATTCGCGTTCTTTCTCTGCCATAAGGGGTAATGGCATGATATGGTGAAACATGAGGTGACTGAAATTGGTTATTTATTAGAAACTGTAGGAGAGAAACAATCGCGATCTATTTTTGGTATTTTATGGACAAAGGTAAAAAACAATAGAAATCATTCGCCTTGGGTCATTACAAAGCCAACCTTTTGTAAATTCTACTCTTAAGTATCGCATTTGCCATCCAACAGGACGGTGGATCCACCCTGCCGTAAAGACGAAAGTAATGGTTTCTTCAATTTCTTGAAATATGGTAGAACTTGCCCACAGCGTAGTGGACGCTCCGAAATCACAAACCAAATAAGGTTAATACGTAGTGTAGTAGTCACCCACTTCCACACATTCTTCATGCTTCCATGTTTGTCACAACCAAAGTATCTTGAGGAACTTAAAATAGAACCAAGTCTGATTCGAGTGAGACAACCAAGAATTGGGTTAAAGAAAGGGTGCACATGGCAGTTGTGAATTAATGCGGGAGGACAGAAGACGTGGAAGGAAATAGGGGACCAATCGGTTTGTAGAGACACGACGGAATGAGTTACGAGAGGGAGGTTAACTGAAGTTGTGCTTTTTCTTCATTAATGAGTTACGGACAATTGGGTTTTGCGATAGACTTACCTCCACGTGGTACACCCTGGGCAACGTTTACTCATACGGCAGAAAAGTCTATTATTCGGCAGTCGGCTTCTGACTTCAAATTACCATCACCCCACTGTATGTCATATTCGAATACTTCCACAGTACACACCTCACCTTTTTTCTACCTTTGTGTCTGTCTCTTAAATCTTTGAAACACTCTTCTGTTCCCGACTGCAAGTCATATTCGATCACTTCCACAGTACTTACCCTACTTATCTATGCCTTTGTGTCTGTCTGTCTCCTTTACATCTTTGAATCTCTCTTTTGTTCCCCCTCTTCACTTTTTCTCACTTTGATGTTCCCCCTCCTCTCTGTGAAGCCCGAAGTCAGCCAAAGGGCCAGTGATAAGTATCGTATAGCCCGCCATTTGAAATACATACATGATAGCTATCATTAGACGTTTAGATGACTTCGGGCTTCACCGAGGGGAGGAACATCGAAGTGAGAAAAAGTAGGGAGGGGGAACATGAGAGTGATTCGAAGATGTAAAAGAGACAGACAGACAGACATACACAAAGGCAGAGAAAAATGTGAGGTGAGTACTGTGGAAGTGGTGGAATACGACATATAGTGGGATCATGGTAGTTTGAAGTCTGAAGTCGACTGCCGGTTTATCGACTTTTCGCTGAATGAGAAGTTTGTTTCTCCTACTTTCTACCTAAATGCGGCTTCCAATTTCATGGAATTTAAAAAGGATAATCAAGACCAGCTGGATAGAAAGCATCAAAGTTCCAATGAAGAGATGGTAGTGAACTCCGTAAAAGAAAATACTTCAAAAAATGACTAAGTGAATAGAGTGGCGGTGAATCTGGAAAAAAATGAAAGGAGATAAAGGTTGATGGGCGGGGGGGGGGGGGGGGGGTCTGCTACTAATTTTTTCCACAAAATGAGAGTTCGATACGTTGTTTGTCACGATGTGTCTGTGGGACCACAACGCTAGCATGGCTGGATCAAGGAATCTCATGCCTCCTCGAACATTCTGAAACAGGACGAGGCCACTACCGATTCCGACGGCCACTACTAAGCCCGAAGCCACCAATTGCGACTGTGCTGCTGATCTCGTAGGAAGTTTTCGGTTTGTGGGTGAAGAGACCTCTCAGCCAATCAACAATCAAAAGCCACAGCATAGACAAAATGACTAAGCCCTGTCTCATTGGCACACTACCGCAATAAACGCTGTTCACAGCACACGCTCTATTTCTCCGATATTGTCTATTTATTTATTTCAAATGGCAGGCGTTTTGATAGTTATTTTTTTGCCCATTAGCTGACTTCGGGCTTCAGAGAGAAGAGGAGGAATATCAAAGTGACAAAAGTCTAGAGAGGGGAGGGGGGCAGACTTATGGATCACAGATGTAAAAGAAACAGACGGACAAAGGTAGAGAAAAAGGTGAGCTGCGTACTGCGAAAAAGGTCGAATATGAAATACAGTGGGGTCATGGTAGTTTGAAGTGAGAGGTCAAATTCGGGTTAATAGGCTTATCTGCCGTATGAGTATTCGTTGACCAGGGTGCACCACGTAGAGGTAAGTCTATCGCGCACCCCTCCCTGATATCGTTGTGTAGGTGGATTGACTGATTTCATGATCAATTTCATACCAGGGGAGTTTGCTATAAAGATTACTGTGGTTTTGTCAAGGCATGCCAGTGTATCATTAGCTACAGGTCCAAGAGCCGCAGTCATGCTCTGGCTCAACCTCTAAAGTACTAACTAATCGATGACCGAAAACAAATGCAGTAAGGCCAAATACCCTCCGTTACCAGTCGAAAATTCCTTGGCTTTGTACTTACTTTAACTGACATAGACCGATACGACACCGGTATGCCAACGATTTTGGTCCCGTGAACGATCTGAAAGACATTTCTCACCAAATGAGCTCCATTGCTTTCTAAATGTTAAATGGCCTGGATATTGCAAGGGATGCTCCGGAAATAAGCCTTGGCAAAACCTCGACAATTTTCTCTGACAAACTTCCCTGGCATGAAAGCGCCCGCCTCAACAAGAAACGGGTAAATAGAGAGAGAAATAGAGAGCATGAAGAAATACTATTAGGATCACGCTAACTGCGCATAGAATATTGATTTTTGATTGGCTGAGAAATCTCTGCACTCCCTCTCAATGCGATCAATACCACGCCACACCTTCCGACTGTCCGAGTGCGTATGCCTTGGCAACGCATTACAATACAACGACGCTACAATGCGTTTATTGTCTATTGTTGCGCCAAGTGTAAAGTTATTCCAAAATGCAGTAGGCATGAAAAAATGATCAGGGCATCAATTCAATGTGATGCTACCAAATACTAAATACTAATTTTATTAGGTTCTAAAATAAATAGGAGGGCAAGGTTTATGTGTTGAGTGATGGGAGGAGTGACTTATGACCGTTTATCGCTCCTCTGATGCATCCAATGGGCCACCCGATAGAGGGTTATTGAAGGATTATTGGAGTGACCGTGGTCTCCGACTAGCATGATGGGCTGTGGGGCACGAGTTTTCCATACGAGCTTCTTCAAGGTACCTCATTTCAAGAATTCCAAACACTTCTCTTAGTGAGCTCTGAAAATTGGGGGAATGGATTACTTACTTGCCTTCATGTAAAATAGCAGGCCATTAAGTAGTGAAGGCAGTAGAAAATATTGATCCATAGCTGCGTGGAAACTGTTAGAGGCAGAGGAAGAGAAGTTTGAACAAATGAAGTTGAGCTCTCCGCATACATCGAAAGAAAGCCTTTGTTGTCGCCTTTACTTAAAGTCGTTTGGTGGGACTCATTTTAAACTTGAAGCCAGCGTTGAGATGACATTCTGAAATGTGACCTCCCAATCACCCTTACCACTTCTAAGAATTAAAGCGAAACGGTAATGAGACACTAAGACCCCTTTGAGCATTGTG